TATTTTTATATATCTTTGAAGAAAAGGCAAGAAAAGCTTCTCAAATTTAAAGACACTTGTTCATAGTTCACCTATATATATACTTCAATTGAGTTTGATTAATTTGTACAAGTGTTAGTAGTGTCACTTGTTCAGAGTCACTGAAACTTTACTTTAGCATTTACCTCTCTCTCTGTATCATCAAATGTAATATGTATAATAAATCCTTTGCCGATTTTCGATCCTGATAAAATTTTTCAAACTGTATGCAGCAAACATTGCAAAGTGATCGCAAAGGCAAAGTGATAACGAAATTGTCATCGATCGTTTGGGAAGGGGGGAAGGAATACGTTCACCGTCGTGTGACGTCAATAGAAGTGAATCAAGTTGAAAGGATTAAAAAAAAGCGCATAAGAAGCCGTTTAATGGGAAATTAAACTAATGAAATTCCTCTTGTTAATAGCGTTTAATCGCTTCTTGAAAGAAGCTTATCCTTCTTATGTGAATGAAATATCACAGATTTAAAACTCTTATTTATATACAACTATGCAATGGAATTACATAATCTTCAACATCTCTTTCTTTTTCTTTCTTTTCTAAATTTTTTACCCTCAGATTCTCGACCTGAAAACTTCTTATTTTACAGACATTATAACCTTTATTGAACCGATGATGGGAGTTCAATGGAATCTGGAGGAAAGCCTAGTGATCGACTTTTCAGCTTCAGTGACTCTGAACTGGGACGGCCATTGTATATTGAGCCACAAAAAAAAAAAAAAAAAAAAAAAAAACAACACCGAGATAGAGACAGAAAAGTCTTCCCTTTTCTAGAGCGCCTATTGAGGCGACATCTAGGGACACAGAAAAAGATGGCTGGATACGAGCAAGCCGATTAACTGGTTAATTGCGATATAAATTCATGGTCCTGATCTCTGACCCTCTTCCTGCCTCGTGTATCATCACGATGATCATGATCAAGGAGATCGATCGAGGTGAAAAGAGTGGAGCAAAGTTTCGTGCAAAGTTTGAGTTTCGTTTGTTTTCTTTTTTTTTTTTTTTTTTCCCTATTTTTCTCGCGATTAATTCAATCGATCGATACTCTTTCGCAAACGAGACTGATTTCTCATCTTTCGGATTTGTACTTTGTACAATCGATCTAGCTTGATGCTTTGATTACGTTTCTAAAGAAATTGCTGAAAAATAGTGTGATATCAATTAAAAAAAAAAAAAAAAAAAAAAGTATAACAAAGAAAACAATTTCGAATATTTATGCATTTTTGTTGAAAAAACTCTTCAAGTCCAAAAATGTGATCCAAAATTAGATTATGGATCGACCATCTCCCTCGCACATTTTGATCCTTTCCGCCCAATTTATTTTTCCCTTTCGAAAATGTATACAAGATTTTGAATGCATAACTTCGAATTTTTCTTTAAGCTTAAAAAATTCAGAGGATCAGTTCGATTCATTCAGAGGATCGATCGTATTCAACGATGAGAGAGAAAGAGAGATAGGTGTACATAGACAGATAGATAGATAGAGAAGGAGATAGAGATAGAGAGATAGAGAGAAAGAGAGAGAGAGAGAGAGAAAGAAAAATCAGAAAATCAATATTGATATATATTATTGCATTCCAAACTGGTTCATACTTACTGTATTCAGCAGTTGTGGTTTCATCCACCTGAGCCTGTGTCTTTTGCCGACGTAAAAGAGGGATTCCGCCACTCTTTTTGGGCGCAACGCTGGGGCACATGGCCGGTTGCACCAGGTTGATGCAGTCGGTGTGAGCGTTCGCCTTGCAACCGCGACACCTGACACCTTGGCGGCTGTGACCGCGCAACACTTGGCCACAGGCATCGCAGGGAGTTATCTTTCGATACGTGTATTCGCGCCAAGAATGCCCACCCTCCGACTCCAAACTTTTCCTGGAAGATATATTTTTTATTTTTATTTTTCTTTCTTTCTCGTTACTTTTTTTTTTTTTTTT